GGGATGGGGTTTCCATTTGGGGCAATGGAAATGTTCTGGAGCCAGAGGTAGGTGGTGCTCACAAAACACTTTGTAAATGTACAAAAAACTCACGCAATCGTTCACTCTAAGATGGTGAAAATGGTCAATTTTATGTTAAGTGTGTTTTGAACAATTTTAACAAAGAGGGAGGGCCAAGAGATGACACGGTTAAGGATGATTCATCTCAATGTTGTTATATGGGGGGGGGGGGGAGAAAAAAAAGGAAGCAATCTAAGGGATTGGGTAGATGAATAATGATTTATCCATCCTGGAGGGGGGGGTGCCACAGAGTCATAGAAACAAAATGACGGGTCTCTATGAACTGAGAAGCAAAGACTCATTTATTTTTCCCACAAACCTTTGTTAAGCTCCTACTGTGTGCCGAGGCCTTAGGGAGAAGGATGAGGGAGACTTATTGAGTAAGGAGGTGGGAGAAGGACATCCAGGGGATGGAACAGACTGTGGCAAAGGTCTGGGGAGGGGTGGAGGGGGTGGGAGCAGACCTAGGTGAGAGCAGATGTCTCCAAGAGAAAACATTAACTGAAAAAAGCCAAAAAAGTAAACTTCTAGATTTCGTTTCGTTCTTCCAGAGAAACCGTGGATGAAACACGGAAAACAAATACCCGTGGTTACCTCGAAGCAGCGGGCAGATGGGAGGGAGAAATTCACCACGTAGGTTTTTCATGCAAAACACAGAAATCAGCCAGCAAACACATGTAAGACACGCTGGCTTCGGGGATAAGAGGGACAGAGGGGCACCAGCCAGCTTTGGGCCTGGGTGGGGGTGGATGTCCCCTATGCCCCACACACTGGGAGGAATCCACAGAGTTAAGGGCTAAGTCCTCTTAGAATAGGAGGAAATGAGAAAATGAGGAAGTACCAGACACAAGGGCTGGGGGTGTTGGGGGGGGAGGGTCAGGCGTGGGGCCTGGGATAGTGGGTTCTGGAGGTGGGTCAGGGGGACCTGGGGGTCCTGGAGTCTGGAACATTTAGAGGGGTCTGGAGTTTGGGAGGCCTAGGTCCTGGGGCTTAGGAGTCTGGAGGTTCCCGGCATTTGGGGAGGTCCTGGGTTCTGGAGCATGGCAGGGGTCTGACAGGTCTGGGGCCTGGGGGACTTGGGGTCTGGACCTGCTTGCTGCAGCCCCAGAAGGTCATGGCCAGGCTATGGGGAGCAGGGCAGCTCTGGCTCCACGGCCTGAGGGGGACCAGAAGCTTCCAGAGGGTACATCTCCACACTCCCTCTCCTTCCAGGCTGACCTGTCCCGAGACTGAGTCTGAAACAGGTCTGAGTCCCACGCGGGGCCAGTCTCTCAGCACAGAGACTTTCAGAGATCCTGAGAGATACCTAGAGACCTTCAGAAACCCCCAGAGATACCTAAAACAACTCAGAATCCCCAAGACCCCAGAAATACCTATAGGCTCTCACAGATAGCCCAAGACAGAGAGATTCCAGAGACACTCAAGGACACCTAGAGACCCACAGAAACTTCCAGAGATACTCAGAGAAACTCAGACATCCCCAAGACCCCAGGGATGCCCAGAGACCTTTAGAGGCCCTCAGACACCCCCAACAACAGTCAGAAAAATTCAAAGGACCCTCCACTAAAAACAAAGATAGATATACAGAGTTCCCTGGGGGTAAACCCAGACCCAGGGCCACCAATGTGTGGCCCCCACAACTTAGCCATATTTGCCCGACATCCTCTGACCCCCATGTACCCACCTATGCTGGGTAAGGCCTCGGCCTGGGCCCTGCCCCCAATATTTTCGAGACTGGGAGCTGAAGTGGGATCAAGGGTTTGCTCTCTCCCATTATCCACCTCCCATCCTGCTCCTGGGTTCTCACACTTATCCAGAATCTGCCCCTCTCTCCACCCCTGGGGTCCAGGCCCCCAGATCTCTTGCCCTAACCCCTGTCCTACCATTTCCAATCTCCATGTATTCAAAGTGCAGCCTTTGAACACCAGACTTCCCCCCCCCCCCCTTTTCTTCCAGGTCTGGCTGCTC